ACACACACACACACCCACGGGCTGTGCACCCTTCAAAAATAATGCAGAAGGGGTGCTTTAAAGCAGCTGTATCTTTTGTTAAGAGTTCTATGCAAGCCTGAAAAAAAGATGCAGCGCTTTAATGAGAACTCGCAATGGTTAAGTGAGTGGAAAAGACCAGCTGGCCATGGCATGTTAGGTGCCAGAATTATGAATATTATGAAGATAACAAAAATAGGGGAATATCAAAATATTATAATTTAATTATTCTAATCTGTTGAAGATGACATGCTTGGCAAAACCAAACGTACCAGGACACGGACAACTTACCTGTGGAATTCATTACCATAGGATATTGTGATTCTTTAAAAATGAATAGTTAAAGTAATGAATGATACCCTATACCAGTCACTATTCATCGTGGCAGTCAGGAACCAGCTTACTTTGACTGTTCCTAGTGATCATTAGCTGGCCCCTAATCCATGAGCTGTCTGTAAGATCCCAAATGGTCATCAGGCGAATTATTAATTTTTGGAACTGGTGTGTGTGTGTTTCTATTTGTCCTCTTCCTTGCTCATCATTTTTCCTTGGCTGGCCATTCTGGGAAGAATCCCAACCTTCTGGAAGGCACTTGAAAGATAAAGCTTAGTTGGAGATTGAGGGATCTTCCACTTCTATGATTCTATGTCTGGATTTCCATCTTAGCAACCAAATAAACTACATTCCTGTTAGGGTTGTGCAGCAATCTGGGTTTGAAGGCAAAATGGGATTGTGCTGTGCAATTCTAGGAGCAGACACATTTTGTTTGTTTCTGACAGGTGCTATGTGCACACCCATGTGTGCTACAAATCCTACTTTTCCCATCAAACCCAGATTGTTCCAAGCTTTAATCCTTGCGCATCTCTGTGGCTGACTTCAGGATCTGGTAGTTTTCTAAGGAGGAAGATAGTTTTTAAGGTAATTTGATTCTAGATTAAGTACACAAATCAAGATTAGCACTTTAGCTTGAAAAAGAAATGCCAACACATGTAGTAAGTGCAATTTGTTAACCTCTTGGCATTCCACAGCCAAATGAATGAATCAAGGTTTCTAAACTTTTATAAACAGCCCCAGGCACAGCATTTAGAGTACTGCCATTGATAATGTAGGCAAACTCTTGCATGGACATTCGGCAGAGCTACCTGTTCTGGGTTGTAACAATCCAGATGACCTTTAGGTGGCATAAAATGGTTAGGTTTTCTGGATCTCTTTGAAGTTATCTGGCTGCCATCCAGATTTCTGCAGGACAACACTCAGAAATCTTCCATCTTCTAAAATAACAAGGCCCTAGAAGGAGGTACTAGTGCTTTAATTTCAGTTAAGGAGATGCAGGTTGCAAATCCTGAAATCAATTACACTGAATGTGCTAGAAATTACTTCTCAGTAGTTATGTATAGTTTTGCACTGTTAATAACCAATTCTCCAGGGAACAAGCAGTTCTCTGAAATCTTTGATATGGCAGCTCTCATTTGGAGAAAAGATCAAGCTGCTAGACCTCATAAGTCTAGAAAAAAAATGGGAAGTTGTATAGGTAATTATAAATGGCAAAGGAATTTTCTGGTGAGGGCTTGCAAATGCTAACAGATGGGATATTTTCATTCAGCAAAGCTAAATATTCTTTGGAATTGCTCCAAGTTATTATACTTAAATGGCATGCATATTCTACAGCATCACTTCAGTCAACTATTGAGAAGCAGTCTTCACTTTGGAAACTGGAAAACACACAAAGAATGTCAGTAGACCCAAATCACACTCTTGGTGTATTCTATTCCAGGAGCACATTTGGGGGTTCCTGAGCACAGAATACGATTTCCTTGGCATGCCAAGTTCTGCATCTCCTGATTTCAGGGGCACTGCACATCAGTAACTGGTGACTTCACCCAAGCTTTGTCTCCACCAACTGCATGTGCAAGACGGGAACCTGTTGATGGGTTTTTGAACTGCTTGCATGCCAGCAAATCACTTCTACGCTTTGCATGACTCAGAAACACACACACACACACACACACACACACACCACCCTGGCACTCTTTCCTCAGATTAATGTGTGAATGCTGACTCACACAGCCTCCAAGTGAACAGCCCTGTTCACAAAATGGGGCCTGTTTGTTTGCATAATATGCCATTTGAAACAAAATGCTGCTGTGATAGGTCTCTTCTTTGCTTGGTTATACCTGACCAGAAGTTACGTTAGTTAAAAAATAAAGAGAGGAAAGGAAGGAAGTGGAAAATGCAATGCTTAAACAACTTTCTTGTCACAATTGTAGACACAAAAAGAAAGGGATGGTGACTCTGTGAAGAATTCCCAGGTTTCATCTCAGGATTTCTAGACAGAGTGATGGAGGTCTCATAGTTGGTGCCTGCCAGGGTTGAAAATACTTCTCTAGTGGGACCAATGGCCTGAATGCAGATTCATTAGACCCAAATCAAAGTGATTGCAGAAGTATTTAATGATACCAGTGATCAGGGATTTCAATTTATTTCATAAGATTCCATTTCACAGGTCTCTGTTCTAAATAGTACTGTTACCTCCACCAGAGAAATATGAGGTATCCACTCTGGGAAATTTCTCAGTACTGTACCATAAAAAATGACCTCTCGTAAACCAAGTCCCAAAGTTATGAAAATACTCTTGTTCCCAACCAAGGATCCTTCAGATATGATGGGCTACAGCTTCCATGATTTCCAGGCAGCCTAAAAACCATGGGAGCTGTAGTCCAACATATTTGAAGGACACAGTGTTGAGGACAACCTATTGACACAGCACATATTGTTTTGGGCATACTGATGCTTATGTTCATGATCTGTGCTTGTTTGACATGTTGAATCTCCCTTGCATTTCTAGAAAATTGGCATCTCCCATACAGGCATATACATGGCTCTCTTGATAGAAGAATGGAAAGAAAATAATGTCTTTCCTCTTCACAAATTGAGAATGAATATGTCTTGGAGTTTATTCTGTCTGATAGAGATTATTCTATTTGAAAAGTCACTGCATTTTTTTGTTGTTGTTGTTTGAGACTCTCCATTCGTATACATCCACATAGAAAATTCATAGTGGGCAGAATCACTAGCACTGTAAAATCTACATTGTTTCAGAGATTGAGCAGCCACTGCAGTTTTCTAAAGCCATAATAATAGCAATATAGGATGCTCCTTCATTGTGCACTTAAGAATGCATACAGTAAAGCTCATCATTTCTTGAGTCATGAAATGCCCAGTTTTAATGTTCCATTTCTACACTAACTTCCAAATGGTAGCGTATTGCTGAATGTACAGATATGACTCTAAATTTCCTTCACCGACCTCAAATGATCGCTCTATTTCCACTCCATGCACAACCAGCATTCTTTTTTTTTCTTCCTGGTTATTAATTCATCTGGCATGCAAGTGATCTTTCATTCACTCTTTCACACAGACTACATTTTGTTACAGGTTTATGTCCCAAGTTCATGCTGTACACAGTTCTGCCAATCTCCCTACACATCTACTTCATGCCTTCTTTCTTTCCTATGGTCCTTGCAGCCAAGTCACATATGCATAAAACTTTCCCCGATCTAGTCAAAGAAGAAGCTGGATTGATATTCTGGAACCTTTTTCTTACCTGACAATGCCGTACATTACCAGGATATTCCCCAAAAGCCCCACCACACAGACGACAGAATACAGGGCAGTGATAGCAATAGCTATGATGATTGAAGTAGTATTTTTCATCGGCGATTGATTTGTGGCATTAGAAGTTGTGAGAGGACTTGAGCTAAAGTCTTGCCAGGTGCTGTTGTAAAGGATTTCAGCACCAGGGAAGGTAGACAGCTCCATGGGACCAGGTGGCTCCAGAGCCCAGCCTGTGGTAGGACAAACGGATCAGAAGGCTTGCAGTTCAAAGGCTTCTTGGGAACTGTCCCGTTTTGGTGGTGCTGAAAAGAACCAGCTGTTCTCTGCGATAATTTCTCTCTCTCTCTCTTGCAAAGCACATCCAAATAAAATCAAAACTTCAAAACAGGGAGAACGGGGGCACTGGGCAGCCAAGGTAGAAGTAGGAGCTCTCAAGAGCAGTTGCACTAGCTGGTGGAATCTGACATCTATTCTAGCCGTTCTTCCGTATAAATCCAGGAACACACTGCCTCCCTCCTTTATTTGCTGCCAAGCAGCTGAGCACAGGAAACTGAATTCGCAAGCTCTCCTAATGATGGTGATTTCTTATTTAAAAAAGATTGGGTGCGGGGGATCTGACATCTCTCTTGGACATTGGAAACTATATACAGGATGCAGATTAAAGGAGAGGGACTGTCAATCACAGTCGTTAAGGGCTGGTACAGAGAAAAAATTCTTCACATTGCTCAGTGCTGCCTTTTAAAGGCAGTCTCCTTGGCTAATGTGTTTTTAGGGAGCTATTGATGTCATTATGGAAGTGCGTCTCCACACACACATTCACACAATATCCCTGCTGATGGAGGCATCTATTAGAGATAGTTAATTGTGTTTAAATGGAGATAAGGGGTGGGGGAGGGGGAGGGGGGAGGACAGAGAGAGAGAAAGAGAAAGGGTTCCAATAATTGATCATGACATAACCCAATAACATTGGATTTCTTTCCTTCTTTCTTTTTCCTGACTAGCTGTGAATCAAAGATACAGAGGTAGTCTGTTCCCACAGGAAAAAAAAAAGTGGACCTTACTAGTATCAGCCCACAGGTATCAAGATCACGAACACACTCAAAGGGCATCATTCATCTCAGTCATAATTCTTTGATTCTGAAGACTCAACAAAGTTTATGCTGATGTCTCCCAGAAGCAGTGTGGTCGCTTCTTGAAAAATGGTATGAAAAGACCATAGTTCAGCACCATTCTTGTAACCCTAGGAAAGGTAGGGAATGATCCTGCCCTTTCTGAAATCTTGGAGGTACTCCCTGGATGGGGTTACATATAATGTTATACCAGGATTTTCTAAATGATGACTTGTTGAAGAAACCATAGCTACTTCATTTGCAGATACACCAAGCCATTAAGAGATAAGTTCCTTCATTATTCCTACTGACTTGATTTTATTAGGACTTTCTCCGCAAAAGGAACTGTTATTGAAAACTATCAGGCCTGTATGAAATGGCTTCTATGAGTAGTTTCATGTTGTGAGGGTGATGTGATGTGCCTTACTGAAGTGGAGAAGCAATGTGACTTGCCTCAATGAGGTGCTTAATTTCAACTCATAACCTCTTTCAGCACTCACAAAAGCTGGGGGAGGGGAGGCAAATAAAGTCCTGTGGGTACATTGTCTTCTGAAGAAGCAGCTTTGAGGAGGTACCTTCCTTGAATCTTTATCACAGTGAAGCACCCCCTTGAAGGTCTGTAAGCCCTAGAAGCTATTTCCAAGCTTCTGGCCCCACTGGAGTTAAAAAGGACAAAGGAAAGTTAGGGTGGTAGAGGGAACATCCTCCACCTGTTTGACTCTGGTAAATAGGTGATTTGTGCCTGGCCAGACCGCATCAGAGCGGTCATTTTATGAATAGGCAAGTCATCATCCATGGTGGCCATTTGGTGAAAGTGCCTGTAATATGGTCTCAGAATCCCAACTTGGCCCACTAAACCTAAATGATTTTGATTCCTGGCATAAATTATACAGTAGACTATTTTCAGAGGTTCAAGGCTGGGCTGTAGACTGAAGTGAACCAGGGTAATGGCAGTAATTTGGGACAAGCTAGTAGCCAGGATTGCAGAACTAAAGAAAAGACAGAAACAAGTGATGCAGAAGCACGTTAGAATTTGAGAAGACTTTGTCTCACGTAGTTATTTTTCCTGCCTTTTCTGGCATTATTAGATTGTAAATCAGTTAAATCCATCAGGCTAAGCCTCAGTTCTAACTGCAGTCTTTGGAATGGAAGCCCTTATTGACAAGCATGATTCAAGGGCCAGACATATAGCACGATCAGTGCCAGGAACAGTATCCAAAAACCCTTGGCACAGATGTACAAAGCACACAAGGATCAGACCATACAGGGCTGGAGCAACATGTGACTTAACTACCAGGAGCTCCCATCTCCTCCTAAATATAGCTGGGGCTAATCAGCCCGGACCCCCAGAGCCAGGCGACTCTGATAGGCATACATAAATCAGCCATCAATAGGCACATAGAGATAAACTACATTTACACACCATTCAAAAGAAACAATAAAAAACCTAGGAAGGAAGCAAAAAGAATACAACACACCCCCTCCAGCAGCCCACATACAGATAAGCAGGGATCAGCACCAGACAAGCAATCAGGCAGAAAACAATGCTCTAATCAAGGAACCACCAAGGAGGAAACTACACTTCCACCAAAACTGGCAGAGCAAGCTACTGCATATAAACAGGCAGCAAACCTCACATTTACTCCCACTGATGATGTTACCTAGTTGGATAATGAAATGTCTGCAAGCAAACAACCAAGCTCAGAGAGCATCAAGAACTCCACAAAGGTGTTTCCACATAGCTCTTTAATTCCATCTCCCTGCCCTCTGGCTTTCTACAAGATGGCCATGATGCTCCCATGGGCTGGTTCTGAATCAATAAAGGCAGGGTTAGGGACAATGGGACACATTTGTGCCTCTCCCATCTGCTAGAGCCTGGGATGTCCACTGAGTGGCTTGTCTTGCTTCTCCTCTGAATGATTTACAAGCCAGGGGTGGGCAATGTTTGAAGGTCTGCAGAAGGCCATCTGGTGATGCTGTGCTATTATTGGAAGGGGTATAGTTAATGTTATTTTCAACCCATCTTTGTCTTTTTTGTGGAGTTTTAAGGGCGGAGTTGGCAGTAAAGGCTTCCCAGAGCCAATTACTCAAATCCCCACTATTAAAACCACCACAAATCCTGAAAACTATCTAAAAAAAACTTTCCAAATTCAGCCATTTTTCTATCAAATGGTGGTGGTGTGTATTGGTGGTGTGATCTCAAAGTGCTGGAGATCTAAATGTGTGCTACTGGATGCCACATATAATCTGCAGCTTATGGGTTGCCAACCCCAACCTATACACCAAAGCAAAAGAACTACTTTACAAGGCGTATCTATGCATGTAAAATCTAAGTCCAACTATAATGGGCTGTGAGAATAATCTTGAGGAAGACCTGCATCCAAGGCAAAGGTCAGATAGGAGAAATCTGAGCCCAAAGCAGGAATGGAATTTGAGAAAGAATCTCACACTGGACCCTCCCTAATTCTCTTTAGGATAAAAGCAGGGAGTGGGGAGGCACATACGGAGTTGCAAGATTCTGTTACTGTAACCTTATAATAAAAGTACTATTAGTATTCAGGATTTTGGCATTCAAGTCTGGTTTAGCTCAAAGGGCTGATGCCAACTCTGATGGCTTCCTACTAGATCTAGGGCAAGCCCCTTTGTCTTGGACTAGAATGCTCCCAACCCCTTACCACTGAATAAAGTAGGCTGAGGTTCATGAGACTTGAGTTGAAACCATTCAGAGGTCTCCAGGTTGCCTATCTCTATGGTGCATGTTTTGTACCAAGAGTTGAAAAGGTCCTGATATGCATGTTAACTGGAAATACTTACATTCCGTCAGTCTTAACATTAGGAATACTATCTTATTAGGATTTCAGTTTTCAAGCATTCTTATAAGTCTCTTTTTAGAACTTTATACTGAATGCATAAAACTCTGTTAGGAGACTAGGAAAGCAGGGAAGTTGGAGGAAGGGTTTACATTGAGTGGGCAACCAGTGGCACCCCAGAGGATGCTAAACAGGGACTCCCAACATCTGTCATCAATGTTCAGGCAATATCTAGAGTACCACAGGTCACCTACCTCTGGCTTACATGCATGCCTAATCTAATCATCTTGTATTCATATCTAGGTAAATGCCTACCTCTTCTTAATGTCATCCTCTCTTCTCAAGGAAGGCTCAGCTGGCATTTATATTCATTCTGCCCCAAAAGATGCAGTGGCCAACTTGGGTGGACAGAGTCAGTATGTGAGAAGGCTGCCTCTCAAAGCTCAGTGGTTCTCCATTCCTGGCAGGTGGCAGACCTGAACTTCTACCTTCTTCTTATGTTTCTGCTTTCTGATACTTTACTTTTAAGAAGTTTCAAAATCTTAACTTTCCTAGCTCATGGCAATCTAGAGTTCTCATGATAGGAGATTTCCATGGTTCTCATTACACTTCCACTTTGTCCCCATGACAATCCACTGAGGTGTTTAGACTGATAGGAAGTAATAGTTCCAAGATCATCTAATTCATTTTTCTGTTGATTTGAACTTAGGTCTTCCCAATCTTAAGGTCCGATGGGTTCCAAATGTTCTCTCCCACTCCAAATCTACTGTATCTGGAACAGGAGACTATTCTGGCCAAAGGGAGCTCTTAGATCTTGTTTACTCAGAGTTTTGCTTTCTCATTCCTGCCAAGTTATGTAACTGAACACATCTCCTCATCTAAGAAGAGTATGAAAGATCTTTACTTATTAGCCTAGAGACCACCACTGCAATATTAAATAAGATAAAACCAGTGAACTAATAGGAGATAAAAGGTATTTGTTTCCTTCCTCTCATCCTACAGCTTCTCCTTGGGGTGTTCCTCTGCAATAGAAGCAAACCTGTTTAAGCTACAGAGATTATAGTTGAAGACAAAAGAACAGAGTAAAATAAAATGAAGTTGAAACTCTAAAGCCAATTTATGTGAAGCAGTTGATTGTATCACAAAGTCAGACACAAAACTACCCTATGCTTTCATTAAAAAAAAAAAGCACAACGGGACATGATTGTTCTCTTGTGTGTTGATTGTTCAATAAAAAAATCCTCTTGACTATCTATCTGCTTGCCTCTTCATAACTCTCCCTCTT